GGCCCTGCAGGGGGGGAGGCTGTAGCCTCTGCAGGGGGGAAATGTGGGCCCTGGAGGGGGGCAGTCCGTGAGCTGTGCGGGGGGCTACACCGGGTGTGGCGTGGGGGACCCATCCCTCCTGAGCAGCCTCTCCCACATGGCCCCCCCCCACACCCACAGTCCCCACACTATCAACCCACAAACCCCATGCCCCCAAGCCACCCCCACAAACCCCTCACCCAGATACCTGGCCCTGTGGGTCAGGAGCGAGGGGACCAGGGCTGGGGACAGGCTGTGGGTTGAGAGTGAGAGGCAAGGACAGGGGCAGGGCACTGGCAAATCAGTGCTACTCAGCACTGCACATCCTGGTGAGCGAAGCAGGTAGGGGCAGCTCTGATTTTTCTATGACAAAAAGCCAAAAGTTAATGCCAGATATTTAGAATTTATTTTATTATGATGACAGAGGCATTGGTAGGCTTCCAAATTGCTTTAAACTGGTAAATATATTGATAAACCACTGCCCAACTGATCTCTCTATAAATAGTGGCATTTCATTTTAAGAGCAAAAGAACACTGTTTTGGGTGTTTTCACGAGTGAATTTGTGTTTTTCATCAGAGAATTTGCAATTTTTAAACAGGGCACACTGGAATCTCTGCTGGTGAGACAAGTGTTGAGACCCAGGCAGAGAAGCCTGTGCAGGGCCAGCACTGGCGACCCAGCTGGAGAGCAGATGAGGTGGCTGGCCTGTTCGCCATTTGGGGCCAAGGGGACACGCTAGGACAGCTCAACGTGGCCCACCACAACGAGCACGTCATCTGGGCGATAGCTGCCCAGATGGCAGAGTGGAGGCACCCCATCTGAGTCTGGCAGGTGTGTAGCCATGGGGCAGGTCCAAGGGGGCGGATGCTGTTGCAGGTGGCAGCAGGTTACAGCCAGAGTGCTGCAGTGGGTAGAGGGTACAGGGGCCACTCCAGGTCAGGGCTCCTTCAGCAGTCCAGCTGGCACAAGGGGTAGTGTTCCCAGATACTAACTGGCTAGGCCTCAGAAGGTCCTGAGGGCAAGTAGCCCTGAGCTGCTCACCAGGGCAGGTTTTTATACTGCTGAGGCCAGCACAGATGCTGGTCCAAGGCTCTAGCTCCCCGCAGCCGCAGATCCGGGAGAAGCTGGGCAGAGTTATTTTGCCCCAAGTGGCACAACTTGCCCCACACCAAAGTGCATGTCTGGGCACGTGCTGAGGCAACAATCCCCAGCTCAAATTTGTGCGGCTATTTGAGCTGCTGCATGTGCACATGCCTGCATGTGTGGACATGCCCTTTTTGTCTATCTGCTTGTTTTTAATACTTCAATAAACAGCATAAAAAATGATCACTAAAATACTAGTCTCTGAATAAATCTAAGGGATTAATTTAAATACAAAAGAAATGCATGCAATTTTTACAAGCTGAATTAGCCATCTTCAGGACTCTGATACCTCCATGTACCTTACTAGCTTTAGTGAGTCGTTTGGGAATACTTGCTAATATGCTTGTGTGGCTACAGAACACTTGTACTGTGTGGTTTGCAAACAAGAACTGTATCTCTCTGTCTGTTTCTCTCGCTACCCTGCTGCTTTAGTTCAGATATAATCTCTAAATGAGTGTATCACTGTATTGCTTCCTTATACATATGAACAAAGAAGCAAAGTATTAATGAACATTCTAAATGGCCAAAACAAAAGCATAAAATTCCGAAGACAAAGTAACAACAGTGGCTCTGATTTTTCCTTCGCTGCACCTGTGTAAACACTAATAATTCAACTGAAGCAAAAGGAACTACAATGGTGTAAAATTTGTGTGAACAAGAAGAGAACGTGGCTCAATATGAGGTTTAAGAACACAAAAAAATTATCTCGATTGATTCTTCCTCAGTTTTGATGTGTTACGTCACCAACACAACCAACTTCAAATGGACAACGCAACCAAGCCCCAGTTACCATAGAAACATGTTTGATGAGGATATATACACTAAGTCACCATCTCATAGCAAACAAGACTGCATTGCAGATACTAGTCTTTGAAACATATTTCAAAGACAACTAGAAATGTTTAAACCTCATCTTTAACTGTACTGAACATTACAAATGTAGTTAAATGAACAACAGTATTTCATTCTAAATAAGCAGCTGTGATCAGGGTGCAGTACCGTGTCAGAGTAAATATTGCTAGATGCTTATATTGCTGGTTATTTTGCATCTGAAGGAAATGTACCATAAAAAGATAGAAGACTAACATATATATTGTTTTCCAAAAATAAATCCATGTCTTGAATAGACTAAGATATGTTTTAAACTTAAACGGGAAAGGTAGTCTCTGAAACTTCAAAGTACTTTTTAATTGCTGCTCCAGCAGCTAGATTATGAACAGCATTTTAAAAATATGATTGTAACTTTTAAATTTAGCTAGTTTTGGAAAGTGAAAATGTATGAAATATAATTAAATAGGTTAGGGCAGAGTGGAATATTCAAATGCTCTTGGCACTGACATACCTCAGCTCCTACTGAAGGCAAAGGGAATTTTATCACTAAAATTAATGACATCTGAGTAAGAATAATACTGAGTGCTTTTGAAATTTGTGCTCATATTTTTTGTAATCAATCTATTCTATATCTACCTTCTTAACCCACTGCAATAATCTAACAATTCCAATTATTTCTTACTGTGTACTTACCAAAGACCTGGTAGTCCATCCAGCAAAGGATACCAAATTTCTACTTCATAGTGTCTCCTTATAAAAAAAAATCTACTGCCAAATCAATATCCCTGATAATTGTACTGATATTATAGCTGGTCCAAAAGAGCCACAGATATGGCAAAATTATGACATACCTTTCCATGTATGAACACCTATTTGATGCAGTATCTTCTGAGGAGCATCTCAAAAGAACAAGATTCATAGCAGTTGCTTTGCCATCACGTAAAATATACAATCACACAAAATTTATGCATTAATCAATTGACATACAACAAGAAATGTGCAGAATTAACAACAACACACCATGCTTTACTACTTACATGCTGCATCAATATTAAGATACAAGAACTTAGTATTCCTTAGTACATATATGGATGATCTCCCTACATTGTTCCATGTTTGTAAATCAATGCTATGGCATTTCTTAATTCAATCTTTATTTCCTTCACTTTAAGTGGTTTTCTAATAGTAGATCATATAAAGAACACCGTAGTTCAAAACATACATAACATTAAAGTAATAAAATTCTAATAGAATGGCTACTGAATTCTGATCCTGTAGAGCAGCGATTCCAGTGTGCCCGTTTTAGCACTGCATGGGCAGATAAATTAAAATGGTCTTAAGTAAATCAAACCAGGAACAAATCTAATAATATTAAATTGCTATAATAAATTTTACCTACAAGGCTGGGGACTGGTAATTGACCAATTTTTCCTGAATAATTCATTATATAAGACACTATAATATAGCTTTGCTTTGTAGTTGTTAAAAGGAAAGAGATATAAAACTATAAGATTAATTCATAATATACTAGGGATATGGTTTAATGTTTTAAGTGAATGAAACTCTTAGTATATATAGTAATGAAATAAACATTGTACATACCCTGATCCAAAACCTCCTCCTCTTCTCTTTTTGGCTGCTGCAGTAAAGAACTTTTAGCTGCATTCTTGTTTTCTAAAAAGGATTAAGAATATACTGATACATATGTGGATTGAATATAGCATTACCCAAGGGTGGACGGGAGGGACTTCTGAAATCAAGGATTTTTTTAAGACCATTTTGAAGATTTAGTTTTGATTCTTAAAGTCTATCCATGGGATTTATTAAAACAAGTTAAGTAACTGGCCAATAATCTCTCTAAACCTTTTAAAACTAAAGCAGAAACGACCAGTATAGCACTATATTACCTTTATATAATAGGATAAAAGTTACCTCATATAAGCAAATTGCTTTTTGAACATGCAGTTTCATAATTTTTTTAAGAAGGATGTACCTATTTGTACAACTGAGGTAATGCAAATCAAGTGGGATTAAATGACTTCCCCTAGGGCCACAAAAACCAATGAAAGACTCTTACAGACTTCAACAGGGTGTCTGAATTTCACTTACAATGAATCAGTGATAGGTAATGGAACCTTGGAGTCTTAGTTACTGTTCTAACAAACAGGTAGTAAACCCCCACTGGCAAATGCTGATAATGTATAGATGTGTTAATATCTGATGCATCTTTGGGATTCTCTCTGTCAAGTTGGAAGGGTCCAAACCAGTGGTTCTCAACTGGGGTGCCATGAGACACTTTTAAGGGTGTTGGTGTGTGGATCCCACCACTATAGTTGCTGCAAGACAAGAACATAGTTCTTGAGATCTGCTGCTAGATGGAACAGCCCTGCTTGCTTCCTGTGAAGTCAGATTGGGAAGCAGATGCAGCAGGAGTGGGTGCCCCGGCTTCATTAGGTTTATCCGAAAGGCAGTTGCTCCTGCCACAGCTGCTTCCCAATCTGGTTCTGCAAGAGATATGCAGGGTAGTCCTATGTGGCAGCAGTGGAAACAGCACAATGGTTGAGAATCACTGAGGGAAGCTAAGGCAACACAACAATGATTCTTAACTCAGTGTCCTAAATTTAGAAAAATTATGGAGGACTGAAGATTGAGAATCCGTGATCTAAAAGGACCATGGAAAGAATGTGATCCTTTCCTTTCATCACATGGAAAGGATGCGATGCAGGAAATGGGATATGGAAGCTTTACCATTAACACTTACCATCTTATGTTGACCATTGTCTAATGAAACATGTTTGAGAGGCACTCACACACTGGATGCCTATCTTATATAAAGGGGATGGGCAAAATGGCCAATCCTGTTAGTGGCCTCACTCCATTTCCCAGCAGCCCCTGCCCACATCGCTGCGGCTGGTTTTCATGGAGAGCCTGGGATGGCCAGGCCGTGACAGTGTGGCGTCAGGGTTTCCATGGAGACCAGCCCAAGCAGCACTGGCAGGGAGCACAGCTGGGCAGGCAGCTGCTCCAGAGCTGGGGCTGGGATTTTGAAGCAGTGATAGTGTGGTCCCAAGTTGGGGCTGAGTTGCAATCTGCTGCCTGCATGCCCCTGCCCATAAATATATACACAGTTTCATATATTTAAAAATCAAGAATATACAATAACATAGTTAAAAAAAAAACATATCTTATACTGTATATAAATGGCATAACTAAACATGGCAAGCAATACATAAAAGTCACACAATAAAACTGACTTCAGATCCTAAAATTATGTTTTACCTTCATGATGTCCATGTGTCATCATGATCATATCAGGCTTGACTGAAATAGGAATGTTTGCTTCCTGTGGTATGTTTCTGAACATCTCTGGGTTTACATTCTGTGTACAGGTCATGTATGAAACAGCATGTTTGGCTTCCATGTAATACATAATATAGAAGTTGCACATTTCATCACTGGCTGTGCCCCTATAGGAACACAAGGTAGAATATACTTTTAAGAGTCTAAGAACAAAATGTCAGCTGTGCATATATATGTTATCAAATGCAGCTTTTAAGTCTACCAGCAATTGCTAAAAAGCTTGTACTGAAGTGCTTTAGCAGCCCACATTAAAACACTTCACAGCCTCAACATAAAAGCCCCATTATCTCTAGCTTCTTCCTGTTTATATCGTATCATGCCAGTTTGCAGAAACTCCCTAAGCATCTCAGTAACACTTAATAAAGATTTATGGTTTGAAACAACAGCAAATGGCACAGAAAAAGTTATTTCTGTGTTCAAATTGGCCTTCCTTCTTTTTTCTCCACTGTCCCTTGCATCTTAGTGTATACATTTATCTGAAAGGGAGTAAATCAGTATTAAACATTATTCTATTATTTATAATGTTCTCTGTTGCAATCCCTTCATCCTATTTTAAGCCATATTTACAAATCATTACAAATAATCCCACTGCTTAATTTCAATATTTCCTATTTGTGCTGTTTTGCTTTTCACATTCCAATTCCTTCATTTACTGACCAGTCACATGAGCTATAATACAGTGGCATAGCAAGTTTCACTACTTATTAAGCAACATAACCATTTCCCAGAGAGAGATGATATTTCAATCTCTAGGAAAACTTAATCACAAACCTGAGCCTCTATAAGGAAAGAGTCTGCGTTATAGAGATGATGGAAAATAAAATTCATTACTAACTGTTAGAAATGGGCTTGAAGCAAAGTTGGACTATTCCGTTGTGCTACATAACTCTACCTTTGAGATAAAGCCACTTAATACAACAAGGAATTTTTTTCAGAAAAATACTTTATGGCTTAAAAAATAGCATATTGTTACACAATGCTGTTCGCCACCACCCCCTTCAAGCTATATAGGTTGATATATCTTTTATTTATAGCTATAAGGAAGATGCAACCTTTAATAAATCTGACAATTCAACAGACAAGCTTTTTAGTGAAAGGTTCACAAAATAAAGGGACTTATATTCAGGATTTTTTTTTTTAAATTAGCTTTCTCAATTAGCCAGCCAGCCCACACTCATAGAAAGGAACGGGGGTGGACTATTAGCTGTTTGCAAAAGACGTCAATGCTGACTTTTCTAGCAGCATCATGCAGTATTCATTTATTCACCATAGCAACAATAATGACACCAGTCAGGTGGGAAAAAAGAGACGGTTCCAAAAGGGGAATTGGTTTCTGCATGCTTTGAAAATTTAGTGTCCCTTGGAGACCACAAAAATCAGCCTCTACCTTTGGAAGCTCTGCTTAAGCATTTAAAAATCATTTACTTCTTCACTGTCTGACTCCCAATACCTGTCAGTATAATTGCCTCCTCTTTACAACTTAAGTAAAATGGTGATGTGCTACTCAAAAATGAACGTAACAACATTCAAAGAAGTACATTTTAATATTTGACACAATTTACTAAAAACAGGTTTGCAAACGTACGGAAATCTGTAACTCTTTGGAAAGATCCCTTCCATCACATATTCAAGCCACTTATAAATATCCAGTTCCATGAATGAAAAAGTTTTTAATGAATGGAAGCACATATAGGCAGAGGGTAGACCACAGTCCCCCTCCACGCCAAAGGAGGACTTTGGGACCTCCTGCTGTGTCCAGCCAAGGGCATGGACCATGGTGGGCAAGGGCCCTAAGGCCCGCCGCACCAAGGCCCCTACCCGACCAGAACTAAGCAACAGGTATGCACCTCTTGCTGCCCCAGCAGAGCCTGCTGAGTTGCCGGCCCCCACAGGCAACATGGTCCCA